ACAATAGAATTTTTTCAACATATTTTATTAGAACACATTCACTATACACACAATAGAATTTTGATAACATGATTATTTGATGCCCATCAGCACTAATTAAAAATATATGAACAGTTGGAAAATTTATATTTTTCTTTAATTTCCATTGAATTTATGCACAAAATTGTATAGATTTATACTCAAATGTCTATTTTCAATTTATTTTTTAAAAATATGACCTAAACTGCTGGGCATGGTGGCCACGCCTGTAATCCCAGCACTAGGGAGGGTGAGGCAGGAGGCTGAGGCAGGAGGACTGCTGTGAGTTTGAGACCAACCTGGGCTACATAGTGAGTTCCAGGGCAGTCTCAATTACATAGTGAGACCCTGTCTCAAAAAACAAAAACAAACAAACAAACAAACAAATTCAATCAATTGGAGAAGTTTCCACCTCACAAAATTCTTTAGTCTTTCCAAGCCATGCATAAAAACCCCTCAATGATTTATCATTCAAAATTCAGTTGGGTCCTTGAGTTTCATTGGAAGCTAAAGCTGGAAAGGATCAGCATTGCAGGTTTTACTGTGTAGCTCAGGCTGGCCTTGGACTCGTGGTGATCCTCCTGCCTCAGCCTCTTCTGTGCTTTGACCTGAACTCAGCATGTGAGCTTTTTTTTTTTTTTTTTTTTTTTTTTTTTTTTTTTTTAAGTTCTGAGAGGAGAGGTGGAAACAAAACCAGCTTGGGAAGAATGTTCTTCAGCAGTTCCATTTCTGGGAAAAGGAGTCCATTTGGAAAGAAACCGCCTGAGAACATTCCCTTAAAAACAGTCCCTGTGGTCACACAGTCCTTGGGAGCCCTTGGGTCCCTCCAGGCAAAGCTGAGCCGCCTGAAGAATGCGGGACTGGACCTGAAGCCCGGTTTTCTTGGGGGCAGCTGCATTCTCATCCTAGGACGTAACCTAGAGCCTGCGCAGTGGGCAGTTTCTTCGTCCACACTCATCTCAGGGCTTGTGTCGGTCTCATTAGCTCCAGTTTTGAAGAGTCGTTTTCTGATCTTAACATTATCTCCAAATTCTAGGGGTAAGGAATTACCCTATTTGTTTTTTGTTTGTTTTTGGTGTCTTGTTTTAGTTTACAGACAAGGTCTGCCTTGTAGTTCAGGGTGGCCTGGAACTCACCGTGTAGCCCAGGGTGGCCTAACTCACAGAGATCCTCTTGCCCCAGCCTCCCCAGTGCTAGGATTACAGGCGCCACCACCAGCCTTACCGTCTGGGAGTTGCCCTGTCTGGAATGCAGAGCCCCTAGAGTTACCTCATAAAGTTCTGTCGAAAGACCTGCTTTATGGCATTTCTTCACGCCTCGTACCACTGGGGTATGGGCAGCTTTCTCTTTCCACATTCCCACCTGATCCTCACCAGGTACCTGGTTCACACCTACTCACGAGAGAGCTGTATTAGTAGTGTGAGATCCGTGCCAGTGAACAGTTAGCTCACCTTCCAGGGAACTGAAGCCTTGACGCTTTAAACATTTGAGCTGGGTCTCCAGGTTACTGGACATCCGTGACAGATATACGGGGTTAGTAACAGTTTTCAGTAAAAGTATACAGCACGCCTGTAATCCCAGCACTTGTGAGGCTGGGGCAGGAGGATCACTGAGAGTTCAAGTGGGCTACATAGTGAGTTCCAGGCCAGCCTGAACTACACAGCGAGATCCTGTCTCAAAAAAATAAAAATGTCAAACCCCGTCTTTGCTGTCCCCATGGTTTGTAGCCTGTCAAAATTCACATTGTAAAAGCATTTGTTTCTGTGAAGTTCATATATATAAAGGAGGTATTTCACCTTTTTAATTTGTTGTTCTCAGAACATGGTGAGATAACTCTTATTTGTAATCATAAGGAAACTAAATCATAACACGGTCAGCTCACATTCGATTTTTTAATTCCAAAAAATTTAAACTAAAAGCATGAATTCACAGTTACAGCAATGTTTCATTTGTACGTGTGTCTATATATATATATATATATAGAGAGAGAGAGAGAGAGAGAGAGAGAGAGAAAAAAGGAGAGAGAGAGAGAGAGAGAGAGAGAGAGAGAGAGAGGCCAGCAGCCCTCGAGATCACTTGCCTAGCTTGCTTGAAGCCCTGGGTTTAATCTCTAGGGCTGCTGCCCCCCATATATACATACATATATATATATAATGTTATGATTATTTACCTAGTAAAATCCTGATTTAATCTTTTATTTATTTAGTTATTGGGTTTTGTTTTAGTCTTTTATAAAAATTGAAGATTCTTGGTATCTAGTAAGAGTGCTCAGAAATTTGCATAGTAGTCTCCTCTAGTCTTAGCACTCCGGGAGGCTGAAACAGGAGGATCTTGAGTTCAAGCTCAGAGTGGGTATTTCAGCAGCTTGGTGGGTCCCTGTCTCAAAATAAAAAATAAAAAGGGCTAGGGTGTAGCTCAGTGTGAAGGCCTGGATTCAATCCCTGATACCACAACAAAAGGAGAAGGGGAGGAGGCAGAGGGACAGGGGTGGAGGAGGGGGGGTGCAGGAGAAGGGGAAGAAATTCACCCTCATTTATTTTTTCAACAAAAACTACTGATCATCCATGTTGCACCCACTTTTCAAATGTTAGAAATACAGTATTGAGCAAAACCAGAAACGGTCTCTGCCCCCGGGGGCTTACGGCTTAACGGGCAAGCATGGAATAAATAATTACAAAAGTTTAAAAACTGTGGTTGTGACACTGAATTAAACAATACTAGGAGAATCTATACCAGTACACTTGTTACTTCATTTTGTGGCTTGCAGTGCTGGGGATTGAACCCCAGCCCTGAGCAGCCTAGCCAGGAACTGGATACCTGAGGTGCACCTGCAAATGTTAAGCGTGAGTGTAGGCTCGTGTGAAGGGAGGGGAGAGCATTATGGACTGTATGATTTGTGCAAAGGCCAGAGAGGGATTCAAGCAAACACGAAAAGTCGAAAAAGTCAAATCCTATCTGGGCACGAAGTCTGTCACACATCTATAGTCTCAGCACTTGGGAGGCTGAGGCAGGAGGATCAGTGAGTT